TACTTAGCCGTCAATCAGCTTTTCCGCCCCGACTAATGGAACGCACTATCCATTCGCCCACTCGCATCACCCATGACCATCCTCACTTCGACAAACCACCCCTCCCCCCAGTTCCTGGAAAAGTACACATTATCCGTACGGTCCACCCTGGGTCACTACCCAAAATAGAGGGAACAGATCTGTCAGGTCCCTCTGCTCGAGTTCAACAAATGGAAGGCATCCCTCGAAGGACCAAGCCCTGCAGAGTGTCGTTCTCTTCCCACCGCCTCGTCCTACTTGTAGATGAAAAAATGTGATCCCCAGCGCGTTCTGAGGGGCCGCCAGTAGGATTCGGCTGTTGTGTGAGAAGACTCGGACCGCGGAAGGATAACCCAACCAAAAATCGCCCCGCCGGAATTTCATACGATCAAGCCAGGACTGAACGGATCTATGGTAAAAACGGTTCGCCCGAAAAGTTGAAACCTATGCTAATTACCGTTCTCCACAAATACACCAACCAAGCGAAAAGACCGCCCCCGTCCCTGGGTCAATAAATCACTACACACACCACCACCACTACGAGTATTAGTACACACATAGTCTACCGGTAGTCTACACTCACACTTTTACACAATATCCATCCCTCCTCTCTCGCTCTCTTTATCTCTCCCTCCTTCCCTCCTCCCCTTCATCCTCAACGCCCGACAACTAGCTTCATCATAACCTTACCACCCCCCCATTTCCATGCCAAAAAAAAAAAAGGTTTCCTCTTTCTCTCCCCACGGTGTGTGTTTCACCCACCAGGCTGAGAGAAAGGGAAACGGTTCCACTTCTGAATGGGAACAACTTAGAGTGTGTTGGCAGACCGTTTAAAACCAGCCCTCGTCTCCGCTACTTCTTAAAACTGCCACTACCATTGTCACTGTATTGCTAGCACTTTTTGCTCGATTGCTTGCTGACTGACTGGCTGATCTTTTTGAGCGTGAGTACCGACTGTACTGTACTGTATGTATGTATACTTTTACCAGCCTCTTGCCTATCCTCTACTTGGTATCATCACCATCATCATCGTAATCAATCATATCACGCTCTGCACCCCATCTCCATCCATCCGTCCACCCGTTTATTCCCCATGCTGCACGGAGCGGAATAATTCATTCTCACGTTTGCCTGGCCCTTCCGATTGTTTTTCGTTATCTCCCTCCGACCTTGTGACATGCCCACCTACATACATACACACATATCATACATACATACATACATGAGCACACAGCAAGAGCGAAGCGCGAAGCAAGAGAAAAAGCTGTTCACTGTGTTGTCAGTTTCTGCCAAGACGAATTATTTCTCAGTCTTTCATCCAGAATACAGCTTAGGGCAATGCAAGCTTTGTCCTTCCTGCTTTCCTTGTTGTGCTATCATCAGACATGGAGTGCGCGAGTTGCTGTATTTCGTCTCTTTTTACCCATTCATTCCTTTTTTTAGAAAGACACCGGCCTTTGGGAGATGGGTTCCTTCCCATTCGTTCCTCATCTCCCAAATACTCGGGATACGGTACGGCGCAGTACGGCGGTACGGTAAGTGAAAAAGAAAACGTCGATTTGAAAAGAAGAAAAAGGAAAAACGATGGGAAATTCTTTAGAGGGAAGGCTGGGCTGGGCAGAGTCTTGCAACGTCGAACGAAAGAAGGATGAAAAGATACGGTTGTTAAATCTGTCGCACTCCCAAGATTACGCAGCCGAATTACCGCACTAAACCACAATAGGCTTAGCAGAGTAGGTTACCAAGTTACCAAGCGAACGATACCAGTTAATGAGGCCCGGCAAGCTGAGCTCACCCGAGCTATGCCACATCTGGAGAATACCATCTCTGATTGCGGAGATTTCAAGTCTCTAGGAGATACAAGGGTAGGTACCCATTAACCGGAACAGACAAGGATGTATTTGGCTGGTATCTCAAATAACTGTTCCATAACTTCTTGCCAGACCCTGTACGGGCAGTAGGCTCAACGATTCCTCCCGGTATGATATGATACCATAACAGGCCAGACCAGGCCAGGGGTGACCCGATTCATTCATTCATCCACATGGCTTCCACGGGGGTCACGCCCTGCTGAAAGGGCAAATTCAAAAGGGCAGGATAGGGTACCGAAGTCCCTGGTTGCTGTACTGGTACTCGTACCGTACAGACTAGAGCAGATGAATGTGTTTTTCTTCTTTCTTTTCTTTTGCTTTCTTTCCTTTCCTTTCTTTTCTCTTCTCCCTTCCCCATCGTGGTGTTATCATTCTGCGGGTCCGGTTCTTGTCGCAGAAAACTGTGATAGAGCTTGCATCTTTTCTTTCCCTACATACTCTTCTACGATAGAATTCATGTATGATAAGTACATGTCTCCTTTATCGTACTGGTAGCTCCTTTCTTCCTCTCTCTCCTTCCTTCTCCCTCTCTACCTATCTAACCGTGCACCTCCACCACGTCGCAGCGAGTTAGTTCGTTAAGTTGGTTGGTTGGTTGGTTATCATAGCTATCATAGCTACTTGTATGAATGCGAGGTAGCATGAACAGCAAGAAGGTACATATCTGGCATCTGTCCTGACATGTCTTGATCGGGCTCTCACCGCCGTTTGGGTGCAATAACCCTTTCAGAAAGTACGACTAGACAACGCCTACGCTACCCTACTACGATACCGGTACCATCGTACAGTACAAGCACCCCCCCCCCATATCAGGTCACCCTGGTTCCAACGGTGAGGTAAAGGGCCTCTGCACTGGAAAGGGGTGAACATTCATTCTGGCTTAGTAATATGTTAATTTGCCAAGTGTGGCCGTGGTTAACATGTCCTGAACTTTGCCTTCTCCTACAATGGTAGGAATCCATTAACCGGAACAGACAAGGATGTATTTGGCCGGTTAACCTTAAATAACTGTTCGATAACTTATTGCCGGACCCTGGACAAAACGCTTGACCTCCGGTACTGTGCCTTCGAATGCTAATAGTCTATCTCCGAGATATCCCTAGTTCCCCTCCATCTGTATCAATGTGGGGGAGGGTAATCGACCCTATCATTAACAGAGCAGCGATTTTCATAGGGTGGAGGTTGAAAACCACTTGGAGGTTGAAGTTGAGCAGTATTCCCTTGGCGAGGTATGATACTCCGGCCGCAAATGTCACTCACCATAGTTTGCTTGCTTGCCATCACCTTGTCCCTCACGAGCTACAGGTAGGTACTCTGCGCACCGCAGCTGCGATACTTAAATAGTAAACATATGTAGGAAGGTAAACTTCTCTCCCCTCCCCCTCCAATGCGCGAATCTAATCAAGACACGATCAAACTTTCCCTTTTTCATCCCCTCCCCTTTCGTACAGTACATCACCGAAAATGTCTTGCAATTGAAGAAAAAAAAAGGACCCTCAACACCCCACCCCATCCCCACATCCCGGTCATGCACCGTAGTTAGAGTGCGGCAAGGCACGGTATTGCGGTGGGCGGTGGGAAGAGGGAAAGGAAAAAAAATTTAACTTACCCTTTGACATACTTGTACAGTGCCGTACATGCCTTAGGGGTTTCCCGGAGTGGGATGCGAGGGGGTACCGTGCCGTAAGGCGAGGCGTGGGTGAAGGAAGGCAGGGAAAGGGTGCGGCCTGGTATCATATCTTAGCATGGTACTGTACTCGTACAGCAATTACCACAAGAACTGGAGAGTGAAGAAACAAAAAATGGGAAAGGAAGTAGGGCAAAAAAAAACAAACAAAATGGTACTTGCATAGCTACCTATCAATTCCTCTTATTTTGACAACAGCCCCCACGCATCTAACACAACACGTACCAGTGCTTGAGTACAAGTACCGGGGTACGGGTAAAGTACACCCCACGCGTTTCCAAACATCGAAGGACATGGTCAAGAGCCACGATGTGGTAGAGTACTTGTACGCCACGGGATTGAGGGTTGGGAAAAGTATGAGGACAAGCAGATATACTTGTATATGTTGAGGCCGGGTCGGCGATACAAGGATAAATAAATTTATTGAAGATATGATATATATCAGACGGGGTAAGTTCAAAAATTCCCTCATTCGTATGATTGAGATGACAAGGATGCCTAAAAAGGATTTCTAACGCCATATGGGGGAATAGCTAAGCCAATAAATAGGGTCATTTTTATTTCACGAACACAGATATCTACCCCCCTGCATCCCCATAGTTCCCCCCCCTATCCCGAGCACCTGCCCACACGTGTAGGATACCGGTATGTGTATTGTGCCATACCAAACCAGCATCTCCCCCTCCCAGTAACCCGTGTTTCGGTCTATCCATCGTGAACCTCCCTCCCTTCCTCCCTTCCTTCCCTTCCTTCCTTTCTGCCTCGCCTCCTTATTCCTCAGCATGACGCGAGCACTAGGACAGTAAGGCTGGCTTATTATTGTTTCCACCCCACTCCGGCCCGCACTTTATGGGACCGTGTACTCGTACTCGTACTAGTACTATCCGACCAAACCGAACCGAACCAAATCCAAAAACCCAAGCCTTAAAAAAAAAAAAAAAAAAAGGGAGGAAGACCATGGCGCTACCGGTAATTGATCTGTGCACGTCCCATCCCATCCCATCCCATCCCGGAAAACAATAACAACTCCAAACCGCAAGCATAAAAAATTTGTCTGCATCGCACGCGTGCGAAGGCGTGCATTGAAACGCTTCCCTCCTACTTTCCTTTTGCGCTTTCGAACACGTATCATGTTCTCGTCGGTACGAGTACGGTAGTTGGTGGATAGAGTTTTCTTTTCTTCTTCTCCTGTCACTCGGATGGGGTTGCGGTTGTGGGTATTCTTGCTGGTTTTGGGTTTTGCTTTGGCACTATTACTATGCATCGAATGGGGGTCTTGGGGTTTTTTTCTCGGCCACTGGATTTGGACTGCCGTATTGTTGTGGGGTGTTTTGCTCTGGTTGGTTGTCCAGAGGAATTTCTTAATTCGGTACATAATTTATCGTACCCGCGTTGGTGTCTCCAGCGGGTACAGTCGTGTCCGTAAAGTCTTCATACCCCGGTGGCGCAACCACACAACCACAAAACCTCTCCATGGAAAATTGAAAAAAAATTCAAACAACTCAATTAAGAAAAGTATATGAATAGAACTAATAAGCCTTAAGAAAATATTATTACCACTTTGTATGACCACCATCTGCATCTAGTACAGCCTGTATTCTCTCAGGTATCCTATCTATCCACCCATCCAACTTCTCTTGGGAAATCAAATCCCATTCCTCCTTTGCTGCCTGAAATAATTCAGCAGCAATGTGAGGCCTCCTATCCAACCTGGAGAATCGATTTCTGAGGGCTCTTTTGAGCAGAGCCCAAGTGTTCTCAATAGGATTGAGATCTGGTGAGTTGGGTAGCCAAGGCAATTTTTGATAACCACAGTCTGACTGCAA